TGGAGTAAAAGAAAGGGGACATAAAATGAATCACTCTGTCCTCCATTTGGCTGCAGAGAATCAACACGACTTCCTGGAAATAAGCTTTATTTAACCACTCAGTCACGTGGTAACTTTTAGTAACACTGGTGCACTGGATTTAAAATTCTCTGATCTGTGTTATTTATTGTGTTTTCGGTTACAGGGTAGGATTTTCTGTTTTGTCTTTGTTGTTCTTACATATTCTTAATATCTGAACATGAGAAGCTTCACACATGTTCTGTTTACTAAAGCAGTGCTCAGATATGTTTTATCAGGGAAACATGTCAGTAAGACTCTAAAATAAAAGTACTTATTGCCGTGAAAGGCTGATGTTTGATGTTTGAAGGTGATGCCTGATGTGTTTTTCTTTATCTCATCATGAAAGTGAAGTCTATAAATGTGGTGCAGTAAAGTAAGCCTATGAAGTCCCTCAAAATAATTTAATCTTCCCAAAGTTTAACTGTCTGCACTGTGAGAGAGTAGTAGGCCTACTCATTTATCACAATTACAAGTACTGTGTTAGGCAGGGGTGGAAGTAACAAGTTAAATTTACTCTTATCACTGTAATAAAGTCGGGTCATGTGAAGCTACTTTTGAGTATATTTAAATATTAGTCATTTTACTTTTACTTAAAGGTCCAGTGTGTAATATTTAGGAGGAATGTAATATAATAAACAGTGGTGTATAAAGACCTTACAGCTGATACACATGACAATATGTGAATGTGAAGAACCGGCAACTATTGTTTTCACTTAAACCACTGTTTTCAACATTACTGTTGCTGTTTTGTAGAGCACATTGAAGTGTGCTTAGCTGTCACAACCTGCACCCACAGTGGATAAATCTTATTTTCTGTAAGATATTTGCATCACATTAAACCAGTTTCAATGTTAGTTCACCTTCCATAGCCCTTTTATATAATTACTCATAAAATAATCTTAAAGTTTATTTGCATGTAATGCCCTAGTTCAGCTTTCTTGGAAATCACCTGACATACTTCCTGCTCCCTCGTTTGGGCAGGACAACAGCTACAGAACAGGAAGAAGATCTTTCTGATTAGCTGCTGCAGCTCTGCTGTGAAGGCTGCAGTAACATCATACATACAACAGCATAAAATCCAGGTGTCAGAAATAAAAACAGATGTGACAATAGACCTCTCAACATACATATTTTTTTATGATTTGTATCTAGAGCTGCTGTGTACAAGTAAATTTCCCCAGTGTGGGATGAAGTCTATCTTATCTTACATATTTGAGTTCTATTTCAGTCCCTGGGGTTTGGTTGCCAGATGTATATTATTTTTATGTCCTTACACCAGTAATAAATTTTATATAGATATGAGCAACACATTGGACCTTAGCGCTGCTTTTGACACCATTGATCACAACATCATGTTAGACAAACTGAGGCACTGGGTGGGGATCTCTGGTACTGCCCTAGAATGGTTTTCATCCTACCTGTCAAATAGGAAGTTTTGCGTGTCTGTAAACAACTATGTCTCCTCGTTCTGTCCAGTTAAATATGGCGTGCCTCAGGGGTCGGTCTTAGGACACATTTTGTTTTCCTTGTATCTGCTTCCCCTTGGACATATTATCCATAAACACGGCATTTCTTTTCATATTTATGCTGATGACACACAAATATACTTGCCCGTCAGATCCACAGACCCTGGAATGCTGAGTTCACTTAACAATTGCCTTTGTGAAGTTAAAAAATGGACGTCAAATAATTTCCTCCAGCTGAACTCAGACAAAACAGAAATCCTGGTCATCTGGTCTCAGCAGATGGCATCTGCTGGTTAGCTGGTAAATCACATTAAGCCTGTGGCAAAGAACCTTGGTGTTTGGTTTGATAGTAATTTAAATTTCGAGCAGCACACCACAAAGCTTGTTCAATCATGTTTTTATCAACTTAGAAATATAGCTAAAATTCAACACCGAGACCATTTTACACGCCTTCGTCTCATCACGCCTGGATTATTGCAACAGCCTTTTCACCTGTTTAACCCAAAAATCATACGCACCAGCACGTACCTTGAGATCCTCAGGCAGAGGTCTGTTGTCTGTTCCAGAGTCTCAGCTGAAAACTAAAGGGGACAGAGCGTTTGCTGTCAGGGCCCGGAGGCTCTGGAACAGCCTGCCCGAGGAAATCAGGTCGGCTGAGTCAGTGAACTCTTTTAAGCCCCTTCTTAAAACATACTTTTATAGGAGAGCTTTTCCCGATCTTATTTGACTTTATTTTATCCCTTTTATTTTATTGTATTTTACTAATTTTAGATTTATCTGTATTTTAGTCTTTTCAATGTTTTCATGCTTTTATCTTGTATTGTTTTTTTGTATTATTGTCTCTTGGGTATTATTGTCTTTACACTTGTTAAAGCACTTTGTAACTTGTTTTTGAAAAGTGCTCTACAAATAAGGATTATTATTATTATTATTATTATTATTATTCTTGCTTTATATGTGTCATGGTTACGGCTTGCTTGTTGCCCAGATCTGGCAAACAGGAGTGGATTGCCCAAGTGCCATCATTCCAAGCGGTAAGTGGGCCAGATTAAAGTATCAGGGCCACAGTAATTTTGTTATCTGGGGAAGAAAGGGGAAATATACTGCTTTAGAATTCATTATGCAGTTTTGCACATAACAGAAAATCATGCGATTAATGTTTTATTTGAATTTCAGTATGTCTGACACACACACACAGTATTGATTATTTGTTTTATTATTTAATGGTAGTGTAAGACCTGGAGGCTTCTCTGTGGGCCCTCCCTTGAGGCCTCCAGGAGAGCCACATATCTGACACCACTGTGACGATGCAAGACAAACACAAACACACGCTAATATTCAGATGCACATTTCACCTATTTCACATTTCACATATTGCATTCCACCCACATTTATGTTACAACTGACAACCAGACTATGAGGTGAATTATAATGTGAATTTTACTTCTTGTGTTTGAGTCTAAATGCATTTTCTGTCTGTGTTGCAGAGAAAACACATCATTTATTAGCAAACACGTGACAAATTTGTGTCACATTTTGAAGGCTCTGGCTTAAAAGAGCTCCAAGGTACAGACAGAAACGTCAAAAATGTTTCAACTCATAATGCAAACTACATATTTTTTCTCAAATCACTTTCAACATTTTTAACATGACTTTTGTTGTTTTTAGAGCACATTAAAGTTTGCTTTGCAGTAACAACTGTCATAATAATATAACATAATTCCTCTTTTCTGTTGGAAGTTTGCATCACATTATAGTGTTCATGTTATTATGTGCACATTCTGTAGCACTTTAATGTCATTAGTCATCAAACAATCTTGTAGTTTATATATTTTTGTTGTTGTTTTGGCCTATATGCGTGTAATGCAGTAAACAGTTCAGCTTTCTTTGAAATCACGTGACACATTTCCTCCTCGCTTGTTTGGGCGGGTCTACTGTAAAAACAAAAAACTATACAACAGGAAGAAGAACCCAGTCTGCGCTCTGCTGTCATGGTCGCTTTAACATCAGCGCCATTCGTGGCTTTGTTCGCTTGTTCATGGATCTTTGTTCTGTGTCAAGGTAAGAGGAGTGTGTGTGTGTTGGACTGTGGCGATTCATTGACGTCAACGCCATCGATTATGAAAATACGTAGATTTGCATAACTTGGCCTGGACAACAAGCCGCCATCTTTGGCATTACGGGCTTTCCCCATAGAGCCGTATGTGAGCAGGAAGTGATTGAGTGGCGTGTCTGCTCTATAAAACGTCTCTGATATTACACAGAGGTGAAATAAATTCATGTCAGAAACATTTAAAGTTTAAATAAAGTTCTGACGGCCTGTTATTATTATTATTATTATTATTATTAGTAGTAATATTGTAACACAGCAGTGATGCGGAAGTTAGACTATGTGAGAAGTAGATGAGCAGGAAGTTGATGGATAAAATATCTTTGATTATGTTGATTTATAGATTTATCTTCTGCTGAATGATCATTAGGAGAGAGATGTGTGGAACTTATAAACTTATTTACTTACAACTGTTTATTAATTATATGTAGGGGGGGATAAATAAAGTTATTTGAATTGAATTGAAACTTCCTGGATCACCTTCATTTACTGACTTAAGAACTTTCTTAAAAACTGCAGTCTGAACTGTTTATACAGTAATTACTCCTGAAAACTGTCTGTTGTTGTAACTCATATTTTCAATTATATTTACAACATATTCATTATAATTTATATTCAAATATAGTTTTTTGTAGACTTTGACTCTGCAGGCTGCTGGATATGTTTGTAAAGTTTATTATGAGCTGACTTGTGAACAGAGTCTCCACCTCTGACCTCTGTTCCTCTCCAGCACTGTAGTTTACTGTGTGGACGGATGGACAGCAGAGACCAACATGTGTCCTCTCCCCTCTCGTGGTGTCTGTCCATGCAGATCCAGCAGCTTCATTTGTCTCTCTGAGAAGTAAAGCAGTTTCATACTGTAGGGACTCTTTCCTCAGTAGAAGTAGTTCAGACACAGTCTGAGTAGAGGACGGACAGACTGGGGACACATTTGGAAAACAAGGACAAAGATTCAAAGCTTCTAGGAAATAATAAACTTCACATGTTTAATATTTCAGCTGTTTGTTCAGGCTCAGAAATGCTGATGTCTGTATTCAGATGGGAAATAATATCAATAATCAATAATCTCCAAACAAGCAGAAAGCAGATGAAAGTAAAATGTCTCCTGTCTGATGGTGCGGAGGACGACTTGACTGACAGCTGTAGAAATGAGCAACATGAAGTCAGCGTGCAGCTGCAGCAGAGGAGTTAGTCTCTCCTTTCTGCAGCTGGGACTCAAGTTGTCTGAGAACAGGGTTTGAAATGCTGCTGAGTTCACATGTGCTGTTTTATAGAGACCTGATCTCTGCTGCTTCCATCAAAAGATGTTTGAACAACAGGAAACATTACAAGTCCTGACTGGAGGCTTTTCTCTTTCTGTTCAGAGACACAGGAGGTGACAGTGAAGCCTGGAGAGGACGCCACTCTTCAGTGTCGGGGTCACAGAGGTGCTGACATCATACTGATAAAGTGGATCAGACCTGACCTGAAGTCAGATGATTATGTCTTCTTCTTCAGAGACGGCCGCTCACATGAAAACTACCAGCATGAATCTTTTCGTGGTCGAGTGGAGCTGAGAGATCCAGAGATGAAGGACGGAGACGCTTCTGTGATTCTAAAGAACGTCAACATCAATGAAACTGGAACATATGAGTGTCGGGTTAAAGAGGGAAACGAGAAAGCTAACAAAGCTGAAGTCATCACCATTGTCAACATGACAGTCTCAGGTGAGTGTGTAGAGCTCAGACTGTCTCTTTGTCTCTCAGGTGAGTGTGTAGAGCTCAGACTGTCTCTTTGTCTCTCAGGTGAGTGTGTAGAGCTCAGAGTGTCTCTTTGTCTCTCAGGTGAGCGAGCTCAGAGTGTCTCTTTGTCTCTCAGGTGAGCGTGTAGAGCTCAGAGTGTCTCTTTGTCTCTCAGGTCAGCGTGTAGAGCTCAGAGAGTCTCTTTGTCTCTCAGGTCAGTGTGTAGAGCTCAGAGTGTCTCTTTGTCTCTCAGGTCAGTGTGTAGAGCTCAGAGAGTCTCTTTGTCTCTCAGGTCAGCGTGTAGAGCTCAGAGTGTCTCTTTGTCTCTCAGGTCAGCGTGTAGAGCTCAGAGTGTCTCTTTGTCTCTCAGGTGAGCGTGTAGAGCTCAGAGAGTCTCTTTGTCTCTCAGGTCAGCGTGTAGAGATCAGAGTGTCTCTTTGTCTCTCAGGTGAGCGTGTAGAGCTCAGAGTGTCTCTTTGTCTCTCAGGTCAGCGTGTAGAGCTCAGAGTGTCTCTTTGTCTCTCAGGTGAAGCTGCTTCCTGGTAGTTGAGCTGAGAAACATCACAGATCAGATGTTTGTGTTTTAGAAAGATGTTGCTGATGAGACTTTAGAGGAAACAGCTGCTACGAGTCATGTGATCAAAGTGCAGTAGATAATGTCTGACATTCTGTTCACCTGCTGACAGCTGATACCTCACACCTGTTTCTGCTCTGCAGGTCACACAGCTGGACACAAGGAGGGAGGAGACAAGGAGGGAAATGTTGGACTGAAAGTTGGTCTGCCAGTTTGTGTGATTCTTCTTCTTGGTGTTGTTGTTGTTTTTAGAAAGAAGATCTTTACAAAATGTAGAGAATGCAAAGACAATAATTCTTAATCTGCAGAGTAACCTGTGGGCAATCTGTCAGCTACATGTTTTCATTTCACATGTTTACAATGAAGGAACGATCAGAGCTGTTGATCCTGTTAATGCTGCTCTGATCTGAGCTGGAATTAAAAGCAGGTCAACCAAGACCCACCTGAGCTTCCAGGCAGCCGTCCAGCTTTCAGGTTGGACAGCGAGCATTATGTCCTCATTTAAAACCAGGAAGCTGACAGTCCAGTCTGACTCTTTATATTATAACAGACAGACTTTATATCAGTTATTTGTTGACTTATGAACAGCTTCCTGTCTTTAGAGCAGAGATAACCAAGAGTCAATAAACCGGATAAAAACAAGATCATCAACTTTCTTTAAGCGTAACTCTGGAGCTGAGAAACAAAAGCGAAAGCTGATGGCTCTGAATGTCTGTCTGGGCATGTCCCTGTGATTAGAAAACAAAATGGTGGGACATTTAGAGGGCAGAGTTTGGCATGAAGCAGCTCTGAGCTCATTTTAACTTCACCATCCCCCACACGTCTGTCTGAGTCAGGATGTGGGTTCAGTTCTTCCTCCTTACTGTTGGCTGGCAGAAACATGAGAACATCATGTGTGTCTGAAGACACAGTTTTGTAGTTTCCCTCTGTGACACATCCACCATTGTGTCCTGTGGTGTATATATATGTGCATTTGAAATCTTTTTGTTTTCGAGACTCAATTAAGTCTCGCATGGGGGAATATGTGGTGTATAATATATGTGCATTTCACGCATAACAGTTTAAAATAGCACTGTAGCAGCAGGACAGAAGAGCAGTGATTGGTGGTTATGTAGGGACCGAACCCTTCTATAGAATTTGACCTCTAACCCCTTGTTTTGATATCCTATATAAGCTGTGTTCGATGTACAGAAAGACAGAGTGGTCATCGTGCTGGGTCACTCTCCAAGCTGCTGCAGAGCTTGTAATTAATGCTGAACTCCTTGATGTAATAAACTTTTATGATCAAGAACAGTGTCAAGCGGGTTTCTTCTCAACACATCATCGCAGCATTGTTGTTCGGACACCACAGTCCCTAAGCAACATACTTAACCCCCAGTTGCTCCAGATGATAAATAATATGATAAAAACAGACGTGGGCCACTTTAGGTAATGTATAACTTGAATAAGTAAACTCCTCTTCTTTACCAAGTTGGTCAGTAAGGAATCTTGTTTAAATTGTTGTTGACAACAACAAACTGTTTGTCATGTGAAAGCACCACTCGTAATCGTTGCCCAGCACTACTTTGTATGTTTTATTTGAATGTCAGTATGTCTGACACACACAGTATTGATTATTTGTTTATTATTTAATGGTAGTGTAAGACCTGGAGGCTTCTCTGTGGGCCCTCCCTTGAGGCCTCCAGGAGAGCCACATATCTGACACCACTGTGACGATGCAAGACAAACACAAACACACGCTAATATTCAGATGCACATTTCACCTATTTCACATTTCACATATTGCATTCCACCCACATTTATGTTACAACTGACAACCAGACTATGAGGTGAATTATAACATTTTACTTCTTGTGTTTGAGTCTAAATGCATTTTCTGTCTGTGTTGCAGAGAAAACACACAATTTATTAGCAAACACGTGACTAATTTGTGTCACATTTTGAAGGCTCTGGCTTAAAAGAGCTCCAAGGTACAGACAGAAACGTCAAAAATGTTTCAACTCATAATGCAAACTACATATTTTTTCTCAAATCACTCCCAACATTTTTAACATGACTTTTGTTGTTTTTAAAGTTTGCTTTGCAGTAACAACTGTCATAATAATACAACATAATTCCTCTTTTCTGTTGGAAGTTTGCATCACATTATAGTGTTCATGTTATTATGTGCACATTCTGTAGCACTTTAATGTCATTAGTCATCAAAGAATCTTGTAGTTTATATATTTTTGTTGTTGTTTTGGCCTATATGCGTTTAATGCAGTAAACAGTTCAGCTTTCTTTGAAATCACGGGACACATTTCCTCCTCGCTTGTTTGGGCGGGTCTACTGTAAAAACAAAAACTATACAACAGGAAGAAGAACCCAGTCTGCGCTCTGCTGTCATGGTCGCTTTAACATCAGCGCCATTCGTGGCTTTGTTCGCTTGTTCATGGATCTTTGTTCTGTGTCAAGGTAAGAGGAGTGTGTGTGTGTTGGACTGTGGCGATTCATTGACATCAACGCCATCGATTATGAAAATACGTAGATTCGCATAACTTGGCCTGGACAACAAGCCGCCATCTTTGGCATTACGGACTTTCCCCATAGAGCCGTATGTGAGCAGGAAGTGATTGAGTGGCGTGTCTGCTCTGTAAAACGTCTCTGATATTACACAGAGGTGAAATAAATCCATGTCAGAAACATTTAAAGTTGAAATAAAGTTCTGACGGTCTGTTATTATTATTATTATTATTAGTAATATTGTAACACAGCAGTGATGCGGAAGTTAGACTATGTGAGAAGTAGATCAGCAGGAAGTTGATGGATAAATTATCTTTGATTATGTTGATTTATAGATTTATCTTCTGCTGAATGATCATTAGAGAGATGTGTGGAACTTATAAACTTATTTACTCACAACTGTTTATTAATTATATGTCTGTGTATTGTGCTGTGTTTCACAGTACATGTAGTGATGCAAGTTCCTAATGGATAAATAAAGTTATTTGAATTGAATTGAAACTTCCTGTATCACCTTCATTTACTGACTTTCTTAATAACTGTAGTCTGAACAGTTTATATAACAGTATTACTCCTGAAAACTGTCTGTTGTTGTAACTCATATTTTCAATATGTAAAAAATATTCATAATAATTTATATTCAACTTAGTAAGAACTGTTCCATCTTACGGAAACATCCTGGAACAATTTATGTTCCGCTGTGCCCCATTGATTTTGTTTGTTTTTGAGGCTGCTGCTGGCCAGCTCACTCTTCCTGAAATGTTCTACAAGGCACCTTGCCGCCCCAAGTGTCTTGCTTATCTGAGGATCCTTCTTCAGAGCATGGTTGACCACTAACTGAAGTGTATGGCCACTACATTAATGTGAAGCAACTCAATACTTGTCTTCCAAGATCCTGAGAGCTGCCACAACATTGGCAGCATTATCATGTACAATAGCTAGTACTTCACTGAGAGAGAATCCAACTTCTCTACAAAAAAAAATCACTGTGGGGCAATTAATATAACATGACAATTTACTGCTGTACAGACAGACTGTAAGTGTAACATTATTTTAAGCCAATTGAACAACAGTGTTTCCCACACATTTTATTTATTTGTCACCACATTATCAACGCTGACAGCCACATATTGATTTTCAATTGTTTATTGAAACAATTTAAAATGGGTAAAATCGTATTTGATTACAGAGCTGCGGTCAGCGCATATATTCACTCAGCACCTCCTCTCATTCGGTCGCTCGCTCTGTCTCTCTCTCTCTCTCGCAAGCATATTGAAAACAGACCCGTGTGTGAATTGAATGTTTACAATCATGAACACCGCTGTACAATGTGTCCAATGCAACGGTGTCAATGTCGGAGACCTGACAGCGTTGTGGTTAAACATTTAGAAAGTCTATTTAGGGTTACTACTGCTAACAGAAAAATATTATTCGAGGTGACAACGCTAATATCATGCCTGGGGGAAAAAAGTAAAAGTAAACAGTTAACTTATGGTGCTGTCTTGCCGCCCCTTACGAAAAATAAGTTTATTCAAGTGTGCTATTAGAATACTTGTTTTAAACTAAAAATAAGAGAGTGTGCTTTCAGTCTACTTTGAATATACTTTTCAGATATATACTTAACAAAATTATACTTAAGTATACTTGGCTTATATTGACAAGTATACAGAAAAGTCTAAGTATATTTGGCATATACTTGTACTTAATCATTTGATCAAGATATACTAAAGAAAAGTATTCTTTCTGAATACTGAAAGTTTAAGTGTACTTGGCTTGTACTTGTGTTTACTCTTGTAACCTTATTAAATAATTTTCACATGAAATGGGCTTCTTTGAGGTAATACTCCAGCAAATGTTTTACACACCATCTTTTAAACTAACATGCTCAATTTCATGGTAACAGGTCAGCTTTGGGGTGGAATCGCTTAGAGTAAGTGCTTAGTGCAGAGGTGGAACTGAACCTAATCTTTTATGTAGTGTTATTTACCCACACAGAAACAGATAAATATTTGGCCGATTTTAATGACAATTTTGTTCATGGTGTGAAAGGAGCCATACACCATTACCAGTTCATTATATACTCACAGTACATGTAGTCCTAAAGTTGGTTAAAGTAGTTTTGAAAATATCATCACAAAACATCATCTCATTATGTACTAGGCCCACATAAATCATTGGCTACAACACTGAATATGACTCATGACTCGTTTAGTCCCGTTCATATGGATTTGGCAAAGGTATAATGTACATTTTCTCAACTATTTCGACAACAATGCATTTCATTGTTATCATATCAGGCCAGATGGCACTGAAGTTTCCAGTCTTCTTTACCTCATGTATGAAAGTACTCTTCACATTTATTTGTGAATCTTTACATAAAGGTCTGCTGGATTGAGCAAGTACCTCAACTAAAACACAGCAATGTTTGTTACATGCACAAAATGCAGGGCTTTGATGTGTACACTTTTGTTTAAAAATGACTAAGTCATTAATTAAACACAATGTTCCATCATTCAAGCATGCAGCACTGTTGTATCTTTTCTTTAGTCTGTCATACTTATGACTGTGATACAGAACTCCATCAACCAAAAAACGGTTGTAGGACCAGAAGCAGTAACTTAGATTTCCACATAACTGAGTAATGGCAAGCCTATATGAAGCTGTTATATTGTCTTGCAAAGGGGGATGCCCAAACACTTTCATTTAGTACTTCACATTTTTCTGTTCTTCTCTTATTAAAATAAAGTTTTTCAACAAATGATTGAACCTTTGCACTTTTGATAGTATGCTTTGCCTTTTCTGGTAATTCTCTCCACAACAGAAATTTTCTAGCTATTTGTGAAGGAACATACTGTGTTCCATGAAAATACTTCAATAGAGTCCCCATATTGGATTCAAAAGCAAAGGTTGATGTTGCCCATAAAGGACCCCAGTGTTTCACACTTTGTGTGATGTGTGTGAGCAAGTGTATGTTGAAAGTCATGTGGTCTTTCCCGTATAGTCTATGACAAATTTTTTAAGAGCCAGTTCTGACATCAGGATGCTTCTAGTCTTGATCTTATCCTGTAGTAATGTATATATGCCAAACACCAATAGGAACAAATGATTCCAAAATCTGCTAGGGAGTATGCCTTTCAGTACAGGCAGAGCATAAAAGAGTAGAAATGCTCGCCACTCGGACGCTTTCCAGAACTTCCTTTCACTCACTGACCTTGGTGTCCTAGTTATCTCAACAGGATCTCAACCTCTTCACTTTGTTTGCCAATGTACCAGGGGGTTTCACTGTTTGTTGTATCAAACCACAACGTAGTAAGTTGCCGAGTGACTCCAAGGCACACATTGTGTTGATATTCAGGAATGAAACCACTGATCATTTGGAAGTGACTAAGCTTCATTAAAGGAGATGGCCCTTTGACTCCAAACACTGGCTCATTCACTGTAGCTGACGTTGCATGACTGAAATGATCTCTCTCGTTTCGAAGTGGGGGTTCAGGTCGATCATACGGATAGGATTTGCCACCTTTGTGATAGCAAAAGTCACAGCCGTAAAAGCCATTAAACTGCTTTGTGTTTCGAAGCAATGGACGAGCCATCGAATCAGAGCTACAAAGCAGCACAAACACTTTGGATACATGATTG